TCCAGGGCAAAGACTCCCCTGAGGATTGAGTTCAACCTGGTAGATTCAGTCCAGACAGGTCCAGTCCCCTCCTTCCAGGCTGAGCCAAGTGTCCCAGTCCACCCCCTATTCCCATCTCCTCCAGGGCAAAGCCTCCCCCGAGGACTGAGATCAACCTGGTAGATTCAGTCCAGACAGGTCCAGTCCCCTCCACCCAGGCTGAGCCAAGTGTCCCTGTATAAGGCCCAGGTTTCAAACAGCCAGCTCATGCACTGAGTACAGGAACCGGTCCCACTGCATGGATGCCTCCTAAACAGGTCAAGCTAATCAACTGTCTCATTTATCCAGAGGGCCTGATCCATTTGGGGGCTCCTCATCCATTGGTTCATAGTTCATGTGTCTCCATTCGTTTGGCTATTTGTCCCTGTGCTTTATCCAACCTTGGTCTCAACAGTTCTCGCTCATACAAACCCTCCTCTTTCTTGCCAATTGGACTCCTGGAGTTCCACCTGGGGCCTGGCCATGGATCTCTGCATCTGGTTCCCTCAGCCATTGGATGGGGTTTCTAGCACGATAATTAGGGTGTTTGGCCATCCTATCTCCAGAGTAGGTCAGCTCGGGCTGTCTCTTGACCATTGCCAGTAATCTATTGTGGGGGTAAAAAGACTGTTTTCTACTTATCAGGTTGAAAATAGCGACATGATTACTAAAGATGCTGATGAGAGTATGGGAACGACTCACTTATTGTTGATAGAAATACAACTGTCTAAAACGTCTGTGAAGGCCAGTTCGGGTACAGGTTTGGAAACTTCATATGTACATACCCTTAAAGTGAGTAATTTCACTTCCGAAATTAGATCTTGCAGGCATAATTAGGCATACTGGGAAATATAAGGCTTAAATAGTTGCTCACTGTATAAAAAGAAATAGAATTTATGCTTGTGACTATAGTACAGCTAAAATACTTTATAACCACATGGATTAAGATGCTGTAGTTAATGGGAGGGACTTCATAAACATTTATAAACGGGGAACAATCTCAAAGATAAATCATTATTTAAAAAAACTACAGAAATTCAAAATATTTAGTATTCTACTTTTGTTCAGAATTCATGTGTTAGGCTGTGTACTAGAATGTCTGCAAGGACACACACGTAAACACATAAACACACAAACAACGAGAGAGTAAAGAATCATAAATCTCTATAGATAAATTATTCAATATCTATATCTCGATTTTAATATCTTTTAAGTTTCTACATACCACCCATTCAAACATCAAATGCATGTTAATCAGTCAAAAAATACAACTTTAAAAAATATTTTATTCAATATTATTGTGTTTGTGTGTGTTCACGAATGTATGCAAGCATGTGTACCACAGTGTATACTGTAGAGGTCAGAGGAAAACTTCAGGGGGAGATTCTATCTTCCCTCCTCTACATAGGTTCCAAGGAATGAACGCAGGTCACTGGGCTTGAGCAGCAAGTGTCTTTACTCACTGAACCATCTTGCTTGCCCCAGATGACTGATTTCTTAACACTCTTCTTCAGACTTTAGGCAAAATTGTAAACTGAGAGTTTGCATAGATGAGAACAGTTCAAGCTACAGTGACTAGGTAGAGAGCAGACTTAAAACAGGGCTCCAATGACCCAACTATTCAGAGTCATTATTGGAGAATCTATCGACCTTCAGGAAACTTAGGAACTTGGCCTTCTGACAAGAGAATGTAATGACAGAGGGATGAGACCAGGACTTGAAGACTAACTAAAGGAATTCGATTTTCAAAGATTAGATGAAATTTTACTTAGAATGACTTTCTCATTTGGTTTTATTTGGCTTTACATAAATTGTCTCCCATGTCAAGATATTACTTGGCTTTCCATTGACGGGACAAGACAGCTTACATAGAAATCTTAGGGAGGAAGATTTATTTCAATGATGAGTTTTTAGACTGACCCCAGTGTTTCTAACCCAGCTATAGTGAGACTGAACATCATGTCAAGTAGGTGAATTAGAGGAAGGTTTCTCACTTCACAGCATCCAGAAAGCAGAAAGAGTGATAGAGGCCAGAGATAAGTTGCACACACATATACCATCCAAAAACATGCCACAGTGACCTGTATCCTCCAGCCAGTCATTTCCTCCAGAAGTTTCCAGTACCTACAAATAAAGCCATATGAATATGAATCCTCCGGTGGACCAATCTACTGATTTGGTCAGAAAGGTCACAATCCTTTCAACAGGTAGAGGTCCCGTGTGGGAGACAAGTGTTTAATGCTTGGGCCTTTGTGAATGTATATTGTACCTAAAATTATAACAAAGTGTATGTGCAGCTACAGATGCAGTTCAGTGCCTACCATAAGCAGGATCCTACATTTGAGTCCCAGCAGTAGGGATTGTGCCAGTACTTGTGCCAAATGTGGATAATATTTATTGCTGAAAGGATCCTTTCTCTACCAAGAAAGACAGGGAATTTCAACCCTTTTCGCTTACATGTGTTCTCCCCCTCCCCATCATGCCTCTCTATTACATAACAGAAAAACAATTCTGGTGATCAAATAAAATACTAGTTAATAAAGGAGATGATAAGAAAGAGTATGAAACTGGATACTTGATATAAAAGAAAAATGGAGAATTTCATCAGAAGGATATGGTAAAATCCACTCAGTTCTTACATTTTCTGACATGGAATTAGTTTCTGTTAGGTATTTACCCAGCTTCATCAAAGAGAGTAACACTTCCCATTTCCTATTTGTTGCCATAACAACATCTTGTAAATAACTTTAGTTATCTTTACAAACACCTGTGGGAGAATTTTCTTATGTAAAGAATGTAGGCATCTCCAAGCCCTATAAAAAAATTATTAACCCCATGGTAAAGGAAATTCCATATGTTAGAAACCCTACAGTATTTAAGATTTTAGTATTATTTTA